GGCGCACCAAAATGAAAAATCTGAAAAAAATTGAGAGTAATAGTAATAGTAATACCTGTTTACTGTAAAAGTATAAAAGTAGTTCCGGGCCTCCTTCAATACGTAATCGGCATTTTTCGGCATTTTTTGCTGTTTTTTATTTTTCACTACCTGGTTCTTCAATCAAAAAATCTGAAAATCTCCCAAAGTATGTGCCCCGGTACCCGAAATGTCTCTGAATTTTTTTACATTTTTTTACTCAATAGGTCAAGAGAAATAATTCAAAAACATGATTTTCGTTTTCACACCATTACTACCCCCACGGTCGAGATTTCAAGTTAAAAATTTGCACACATGGGTTATTTTTTTTTTGCTATCGAATGACCCTGGGCTCGTTCCATTCGGTTTGGGGGCACATTTGACCCCCTTATTCGGCTATACCCTTTGTTGCAATCTAAACATTCTTTCGTTTTTTTTTCTGAAAACTAAAACTATAACAATTGGAGATGAGAAATGAGTTTTGTGAAACAGTCTGCAGTCTTTATAGTGGATAAATGATTTGAAAAAATGTCAACAGACTGAAAAACAGCGTTGAACAACGATTTTATGTAAAGTCAACATTTTATGAAAAAAAGAGGAGGTATTTACTGATTTTTGTAAAATGCTTTAAGTGTTGGAAGAAGCGATGACGCAGGTAACTGTAATTCCCTTGACAATGTAAATCAACATCGTCTGGCGTCTGATGAACCATTGTTCTACTTGTAAAACGGAGCTCAGCGTGGTAAGTTTCGATCTTTTTATATTAATAAAGTTATACAGTAAGGAGCAAAACTGAACACACATATGACATTTAACAAAAATAATTTTTTATTCAATATTTTGCATGTAGAATACAAAAAAGATAAGATACTTGGTATTATCTATCATTCTCTGGCTTTTCAAAACAAATTTAACATTTGTGATACCATTATTATTTCGCTTCGTACAATTTTTATTCGTGTAGTCAATTTTTAGTAAACATTTCAAATTTTGGTACACTTAATATTTCGTCCATAAACCTTTAACCTTGATAATTCCTTCAATACGTTTAGATATACTTAATACTACATTTTCGCAATTACTCTGGTGCAATAGAATCGCATCAATATAACGTTATGAAAGCACTATCTAAAGATATAAAGAATAATATAATTTTCCAATTAAAATTGAGTTTGTCAACGCAAGTAATTCCTAGAAAATTTGCTGTTAGTCGGGGAGTTGTACATAAAATACGAAGGAAACGTAATGAAGTCCCTGCATCTTTTGGAGGCTGTCCAAAATTATTATCTTGCCAGGACAAGAGAAGATTGACAAAATGCATTACTTCAGAAATTGCAACGACAGCATCAGTGACTGCAAAGCTATTAGAAAGCGATGTTGGAAAGGAAATTAATAAGTAGACAGCTCGAAGACCATTAAAAGAAGCCAATTTTACAGCAATTACGAAGAAAGAAAACCTATCCTATCAAAAAAGAATGTCAAGACCTGTCTGAATTTTTCAAAAAAACATTTAAGCTATTTCCAACGAATCGAAAATCAATCGAATTTCATCGAATGGATGTTGTTGGTGTTGGAAAAAGCAAGACGAACTTCTATTACCGTATCATGTGAAGCAAACAATGAAAGGTAGTGGTTCACTTATGGTGTGGGGGTGTATTATTGCGTATAGTGTAGGTTCAGTACATCGAATGGAAGGTACGGTGAACCAGTATACGTATAAGGATATTTTAGAAAAAAATTTACTAGAAACAATTCAAAATATGCCAGTACCAAAGTGTGATGTATTTCAACATGACAACGCTCCATTGTGCGAACAGTGTGAAGAATTGGCTGCAAACTCAACTATTTCAAACCATGAAACGGCCTGCTTAAAGCCCAGACATAAACCCGATTGAAAATACCTGGGCATACTGAAAAATGAAGTTAGAAAATAAATATAGTGCTTCCCTAGTAACGATAACTGATTTGGGGCATAGAGTACAAGAACAATAGTATTCTATTACACCAGAGTATTACGAGAATGTAGTATTAAGTATGTCCGAACATATTGAAGCAATTATCAAGGTTAAATGTTTATGAACGAAATATTAAGTGTGCCAAAATCCGAAAAATTGCACGAAGCAAAATAATAATGTATTGCAAATGTTAAATTTGTTTTGAAAGGCCAGAAGATTGTAGATAATACCAAGTATCTTATCTTTTTTGTATTCTACATGCAAATATTGAATAAAAAATTATTTTTGTTAAAATGTCGTGTGTGTGTTCAGTAGGGTGGTCCTTAGCTACAGGGGTCAGAATTTTTTTTTTACGCACCCCCATAGACTGTGACACTTGATAAAGAAATCATTTATGCAAAATTCGTATATAACATAGGAAGTGAGTCATAATTCGTGGCTTTTCCTTATGTATGAAAACTAAAACCGAATGTAGGTGTGCTACGTTTTGCCATACGATTATTTTCAATCGAAAGGACAAGGAGACACATACGATCGTGTGTCAAAAAATTACGTTTTTTTTGCATCGTGCTAGGAAAAGGTTCTTTTCCTTTTTTCACGAGAATTAATAAAAGCCGCTTGATTGTTGGGTTAGTAGAAGAAGAGATCCCAGAAACCATTTTTCAAGTACATAGTCATAGTCTTCTGTTCTTTTTGTACGCCAAGTTTCATGCAATGCTAATAGTTTTTGAGCTTTGCTCACGATCACGGCAATTGTCTTGAGATCCAATTTTATTTTTCGTACCTTGTAAAATAACACACACAATACTTGTCTATTACTAGGAAGCTTTGTTCCAATAATTTTACTTTCGTCATGCTCGAACAAATATATTTCATCAGAACTTCTGATCTCCATTTTTGCACACATTCAATTTCTCTATGAATAATATTTTGTGAACTGCACACGTTGAACTCTTTACGATGATTAAATAAGAGACGCTTCTTGTTTCTACGGCCTTATTGTTGAAAGTAATATACAAATATTATTAATTAAATATAATTTTATTGTGTTATTTTAGAAGTATTAATGAATATTTTTAAATAGAAGTATAATTTCTCAGATATACAGGGAGTTCGCCCAACCTTAGGAAAAATTTTAATGGGAGATAGTAGAGACTGAGGCTTCGTTAAAAAGTTATTAAAAAATTAATTTAAAAAATTTTTAATCATTTTAAGAAAATTATTTTCAGTTGCAGAGGTCAATTATAATAATTTTTGGTCATTAAACATACCCCCGAAATCTTATTCACTTTCGAGAAAAAAATTCCTTACCGAAAATATAATCTGAGGCCTGAAATGGTTCCCCGAAATTTCATGTGAATCTTTAAAACATCATAACTCTTGAACAAATAGGACGATTTTAATGTTTCAAAATGCAAACAATGCGTATTTTGGTGAAGAATATGTGGCAATTCCAAAAATATACGAAAAGCTATCCCTCGACTGCGCGAAATGGGAAGAACCCCATAAAATTAGACCAATTTTCAAAAAGCCATAACTCCTACAATAGAGAATATATTTCAATGAAACTTTTTTCTGAAGTAGAGCTCATGAGTACGTACAAAAAAGTATTAGACAACTTTTCTGTAGGACGTCAAACAAAATGACTAAAAATCAAAAACGAATTTGTAAGAAAAATCGACAAGGTGCCTACATTTTACGATGAAAAAAAAATTTCAAATCGTTGGGGAAAAATTATTTTTGGTTGTGGGGGTCAATTACAATCATTTTTGGTGAATAAATATACCCCGGAAATCCTGCGCATTTTCGAGAAAAAAATTCAGTACTGGTGGAACTTTAAACGTTAATAACTGTTTAACGAAGCCTTCATCAACAAATTGGTATTCCTGATTTTCGTCCTATTTTGGCCTCTAGAATCCCCCATTACAATTTTTCCCAGGGGTGGCCGAACACCATGTATGTCTGAGAAATTATACTTCTATTTAAAAATATTCATTAATACTTCTAAAATAACACAATAAAATTATGTCCTAAATTGACGTGAAATTAGCTATAATTTAAAAATTTTAACTCAAATGCGGCACAGGTTCCCGTTTTCCAATCATTCTCAAATTTTGCACATGTTATTTTTTCTCAAAATGTCATAATTTAAGAGGGTAAGACCGAACAAAATCGGAAGTCGAAAAATAAGGGCCAGCATAATATGTACTATACTTTTTTACTCCAGACGCTGCATTGTATAGGATTCTAAATATATTATAACAATGAAAATCACACTTACGTTATTGTTTTAGGCATAAGGAATTATAATTTCACTAAAAAATATCAGTCGACAACTTTGGTATAAGATAATATAAGTGAATCCTTCTCTATGGCGAAATCATAAAAATTTCAAAACTTTAATTTAAATGCGGCACGTGATCCTGTTGTTTAATCTCGCTGAAATTTTGCACAGAACTTTTTTTTATCAAATGTCACAATCTGAGGGGGGAGGGGTAAAAAAGTAATCGAAAATCGAAAAATAAGGACCACCCTAATGTTCAGTTGTGCTTCTTGTTGTTAAGTCAAAATAATAGTGTTCGGATCTGACAGTAATCCTTAACATTAATTTCCAGGAGAAAATTCGGCACGAACTAATGGGACGACCTAATACCATACAGATACGTAATAAATAAAGGTTAGGTACGTAAGAATAGTACTATTTGGATGAATCTCAATTGACAACTATTTCCACAATCCGTCCACTTACTTTTGTCCCCGACTGTACAAAGAAAAGCGACTAAAGATCGTCGAGGTGCCCCCTAAAGTAAATAATTCTCAAACTCCTTCTAGGAATCGGATCCCCTCCACCCGCAGGCCAGCATGCCGGCATTCCATTCTCTCTCGAGTCTCAAGTCGATGGGTGAAGTCTAATACAGTGGCCTCGGCCTGGTGACCAGAAGAACGCCAACCAACGGGACGCGCGGACAAGACGGGACCGAAAGAAACGTGTGCGTGTGTGTAGAGTCGAAGAGAGATATCACTCACTCGGCGTTGGTCTCCGGCGTGGGTAGGTCGCCGATTGTCGTCAGAGTGAGGGTGGACCAGTACAGGGAGCCGAGGTACTTCCTGGTGAGGGACGCGTACTCGCCGGGTCTGTACGGATAGACCCAGTCCCCTTGGAATCCTTCCGCCTCGCTGAGCAAGTAGTAAAAGCAACCGAACCAGTGAGCCAGGATCAGCAGTATATGTATGAGATTCAGTACGCGCCACAAGTTTGGATAAACCGTACGCGACTCCACCATGTAGTAGTAGTTGTAAACACGGTAGATTTTCAGAAACCTCGGGAACCTGAGCATAGGATTACTGCCGAGGTTCACTTGGAGCAGGTCTAGCGGCAACAAGGCCAGCAGATCGAGCACGAAAGACTTCGATTTTAGGTAATGGCCCGCCAGTTTCTTGCTGTTGTAGACCATCAGGCCCTGCTCGAGGTAACCGGTGCGGAACTGCACCGCCACGTCCAGGAAAAAGACCAGGTCGGTGAAACCGTCGCAAGCGAGCCAGGTAGCCGGCGCCAGCGCCTGCAGTTCTGGCAAACTTTGCCTCACGATCAGCGTCCAGAGATTGTAGAGGACGCAGCCGGACAACAACATCAGCCAATAGTAGTAGAAATTTTCGTCGGGATTCACCACGGTCTTCGGTGGTTTCTGCGGCCTTCGCGGACGTCTGCGACGACGACCGCTCGAATCCTTGTCGTCGTTCGCGTCGCCCTCGCCTTCGCCCGTGTCTAACGTCTCCTGGCTCTCCGGGATCTGTCTGGTGGAGAATCTCTTAAGGAACGAGTCCTCGCGTTTCAACGGCGGCTTCTTCTGGATCGTCGATATCGCGGAGGACAACTGAACGGTGGTGCGCAGCTTCATCCACCGTTGATTGCTCTTCGTTCTGGGAACAGAAAGAGGAATAGATCGACAGTCAAGGACGGATTTAATGGTTGCAAAGTAGCCCACGACGAAGCACCAAGTCCCGGGACAATTTGGCGCTACCGATACGCGGGCTTTGACCTCGATCGGGCCTCGAACATCGTGTGTGCTTACCTACAAACATTTTCCTCGTTTAATATTTCACTGAAAGTTTACGATCGGCGTTATTTTTGGAGAAAATAGGCGTTCCTTCATCGTTTATTTGTTCGTAGACGTTTCTTTTTATTTAGAATGTATACATGTATTTGCTAAAACTGTTCTAGAATTACTTTAGGTTGAGGCTTCGAGAAATAGGCAGTTGCAGCGGCGATAGCCGATTTTTTGGCTACCTCTTACAAAGGGACCTTACGGTAGTGGAAATTGCTTTTAAAACGGTAGTAGGTACAATATAGTACGTACCTAGTATTAAAAAAGGATTTCTTCAAAATGGGTCTTCGTTTTCGAGATATTTTGATTTAAAATTTTGTACGCACCTAGTAAATGAATTATTTAAGGGGGGGAGACTCATGTAATATGGTAAAACGAGAAGTGATATTTGGCAATCTCTGTATAACAGAAGACTTTGATGAAACTTTACTTAACATTTCAAGATACAAATATTTTTTTTCGTTACGTTTTATCGACTTTGGATGAATTAATAAATGTTATTTCTTATGTCGATGGTGTTGATCGGCGTACAATCTAACATTTGTTTCCCTTCATCCAGTTTTCTTAAAAAATCATTAGTAAAATAGAAGTTTAAAAATGCAGTATTCATGTTAAAACTGATGATTTATTTATCTATTTCACTTGAAGGGGAGTCATGTAAAATGGTAAAACGAGAAGTGATATTTGACAATTTTTTTACACCATAAGGGTTTCATAAAACTTTTCGCCAGTTTCCACATACATGTATACACATTCTTTAACGTTTCAAGATACAAATATTCTTTTCTTCGTTACATTTTGTCGAGTTTGGATGAAATAATAAATGTTATCCCTTATGTCGATGGCGTTGATGTAGAATAAAAAATCGAACGACATTTTCTTCATAATAGTACTACGCGTCGTATGAACTAACATCCTTCACAATAATAATTACTTAAATTATGTTTATTGCATAATTAAATTAGAAATTGCAAGAATCATATTTTTGTGTTCAGAGTTGTGTATCTCCGACAATTTTGCAATTTTTTTAAGGAGGATTTTAGTGCATGCAATGCGCAGTACTATTATGAAGAAAATGTCGTTCGATTTTTTATTCTAGATCAACGCCATTGACATAAGGGATAACATTTATTATTTCATCCAAAGTCGATAAAATGTAACGAAAAAAAAATATTTGTATCTTGAAATGTTAAAGAATAAATGTGGAAAGTGGTAAGAAGATTCAACAAACTCTTATGCTGTAAAAAATTGTCAATTATTCTTTCTCGTTTCACCATTTTACATGACTCTCCCCTTTAAGTGATATACAGTCTGTTTTATAAGAGCGTTGGAGCGATTTTTCGAATGACGGAGCTAGAAGAGCGGTAACATTTATCAGATCTACTTCAGATGTTTATAAAGAGTATCGCGTTACTCGACTCGCGTCCCATACTCAAGCAGTATTCGTTTGTCAGCCCGAGCGATCGAATGCTTAAAAATGAGTGCGGCGTACGCTAGGCGATACGAAGCTGTATTTCTTTGTACGCATCCGAAAGTTCCAAAATTAAGCTTTTCTGCGACGGCTCGTTATATGAGGAAATCGACAGAGTTTGTTAGAAAGTGGGTGAATCGTTATAAATTAGTGAAAAACGTTGATGACTTTGAAGGAAGAGGGAAGAAAGGTGGAACAACAGAGCGACAGGATAAAGTGATTCTAAGACTGTTCGAAAAAAATCCGTCGCTGTCATTACGACAAGCTCAAAAACAGCTTGAAAAAAAGGAATCAAGCTTGCCGTTTCAACAATAAAAAGGCGATTAGAAGATTCCAACGTAAAATATAGAAGCACGCTGCGAAAGCCCTTGCTCTCCGCGAAACACGTCAGTATGCGATACGCTTGGGCCCAGAAAAATATTGATTGCAACTGGGACAATGTAATCTTTTCTGACGAATCCTCGTTTTGGGCGTGGGTACCTAAAAAGAAAGCCTGGACCTGCAAACATAATCCAATGCTACAACGAACTGTTAAACATCCAGTTAAGGTCCACGTTTGGGGATGCTTTTGTTCCCTTAGTTTTGGAAATTTGTTTCTCTTCACCGAAAATTTGAATGCTGAAAGAATGGTAAAAATTTATGAAAAATGCTTGTTGAAATCAGCTAGAGTGTGGTTTGGTGACAATAATGCTTCGTGGGTGTTACAAGAGGACAATGATCCGAACACCGCATCAATGTTTTAAGCTGGCCCTCACAGTCACCGGACGCGAACCCCATTGAAAATGTATGGGCAATTCTTAAGATAAGGCTTCAGGGAAAACAAGTATACACCCTGAAACAATTATGCCGCCGAATAAGAATTTTATGGAGATCATTACCAATAGAATACGCTGAAAACCTCGTCAAAAGTATGCAAAAACGCTGTGAGGCTATACTACAAAATAAAGGAGATTTCACATAATATTAGGTATTTGCGACGTAGTATTATAAATAAACTTTGATGCCCTCTATGAATTTTTACAAAATATTTACTTGTTGTTTAGATATAGCTCCAACGCTCTTATGAAACAGACTGTATGTAGATCGCATTATAATCATTAATAATTTATTAATCGTCAGTTTTAACATGAATGCTGCATTTTTAAATTTCTATTTTACTAATGATTTTTAAAGAAAATTGCTTGTGACTTTTTTAAAAGATTAAAGTGTTATTTTGAATAAAAATTGGTAAAATAAAAATTTATTTATTATTGTTATATCATGAATTTAATTATAAGGTTTAGAAAACAGTGTTTCAGAGAATGTCAATTCTTCTTGATTAAAATAGGACAAGTAATGTTGCGTAATGTTAATAGCTTTGAAAATAAATAGTAAGGAATCGCCTTTACCGAATCACTACCTGATTTCGTCGTTGCCTACTGTCTACCTCACGGAGTTCAACCTAAAATAATTCGACCCTAGGTATCGTACTTGTGTTTCACATTTTAGATATCTAAAACGTCTCAAAGTTTTAAAAATCACCCGAATTTTTTATCAAAAATGTAACTAAAATTGAACGAAGTTTGCGTCGTATTGCTTTCTTTCATTTTTAATAAAAAAGGGTGCAGATCTTGTTTATACTCGGTTAATATTCAGACTTTCGTTGATTGGACATTTTTCTTTTGTTCTTGATATTACTACGTGCCCTTAAATTTTTCAATCTCCCTTTTAAATTACTCTGTACGTACAGTTTGGGCATAACAAAGGGGTTAACGGTGATTCAGCTCGTAATTTGTACTTTCAGCTTCCATTTTAATTCCTCGGAGGCTCCGTGAATGCTAATGTCAGGATACTTATTGCTCCCGTCGCCGTTAGAAGTATACTTTACGTCGCGAGTTCCCTTCGAAAGTAGTAAATTTAGGTTATGCACGAGCTGGTATAGGTGCGGACAAAGACGTTCGAAGCGGCAAAGTCTGCACATTATAACCGCCTTCGAGTTCAAAAACGTAATACCGTGTAACCCCAAGGGACTGTCACGATCGCTCGGTATTCGCAATTTCAATAAATAGCGTTTTCGTTTTGATTGTTCTTTCATTTATTGTTGCGGGGAAAGACCCAATAAGACTAAATAAATTCTCACGATCATTTAATAAAACTATAACGAGCTCGGGTCACTGGTTCAAACGCATCTTCGTATGCAAGCTTATAACTTTTATATTTACACGTTAATAATGGAAAATTCACTTTGAAATTATTGATTTGCAATACTAGGTTGACTAAGAATTGTCTACACAGTTTGAAAAGTACTGCAAGACGACATTTTTTTAATCTTATTTAACTGGGAATATATCAAGATTCAGTTTAAATTTTTTTACAAGGAAAAAGTAAACACAACTTAAACTATTGCATAAGTTGCAGGTGTGCACGCGAAAATGCTTGACGATTAAAAATTTATAATTCTTTCACTTCTACAAGTTGGAGCGTAATTAGTAGTAACGTCGAAAATGAGGAAATTTCTCATGCAAAAGGAAACCCAAAACGTGGAATGAAATTAATATACAGGGTGTCCCGTAAATAGTGTAAGAACTGGAAATGAGGGGTAGCTGAGACGATTCTGAACAACAATTTCCTTTGCAATGAGATTTTTGAGAAAACCAACATTGAGAATTCTTTTACTTTATTATTTCTGTTTGTGATTATATTTGTAAGTTACGATTGAAATTAATATTTTGTAGTTTACTAGTTAAAAAATAATTAAAAGCATTGTAATCATTGTCAGATAATCTTTAATACTAGGCCATGCATTATTAATGCATATTGACAATGTTAGAATATTCAGTTTCAATTTCGCGCCTTTGTGTTTATTATTAAGTAATGCCGCTAGGTGGCGCCGTAATAGGTTAAGTTGTTTTTCATTCTTTCGTTTTTGTTGTATGTGTGTGTGGTTCTTTTGCTGTTTGATGGGGTTTGCTGTTCGGCTGACTTGGAGGTATTGATATCTGTACGAAATAAAGTTTAATTATCAAACAGATAATACGATAAAATTAGGTTTGAGAACTGTAAATATGTAGTGGGAGCTCAAATGTCGCGTAGACCAATTTACCACTCAATTTGCGTATTTTTGAAGCTTTACAATTGTTTAATGTTTAAGATTATCTCTTGTTAATATCCACGTGTGAATCAAGAAAATATTCTCCGAAAAAGCAACTATTCAAGTTGCTTTCGCGCGAAGTGTATTGTGTTTTCCCCAATTGTGCCACGAATTACGCTCCACCCTGTGTATTATTGAATAGAACAAGTACAGTTTCCCGAGCTATTCTTAAAGTGTCTACTCGCGAGAATTTATGATCATCTTTACATGACGC